CACACACACACACACACACACACACACACACACACACACAGATACACACACACGCTCTCTCTCTCTCTCTCACACACACACCTACACACACACATACACATGCACATACATTCTCCTGTCTATTGACGGGGAGCGCCACCTGCTGGAAACTGGGTCCAGCGTCCCATGAACATCATGAATAAAGCACCAACCGGCACCCCACACACACACACTCTTCGAGTTGTGTATAGCGAACATGGCAAAACATACATACCGCATAATCACTACCTTACCCTTCCCAAACCGCATAAACAAACGAACTACGGGCTGTGCAGGGTAAGTCAATATGACAATCAATTGTTTATGGATTTTCATGTCAAATTGTTCTCTAGACTTCTTATCAATATGAGATGATGTCTGGCGGACTCGGCCTCCTGAAAGTTCGGAGGTAGACAAATACTTGTCCAAAATAGGCTCGGAGGTACTAGTGGTGTAAGGGGAAAAAAAAAAAAAAAAAAAAACGAAAAAGGGATGGATTTTCATGCATCGTGCAGCGTGACCCCTCAGCATCCCTAGAGCAGTTCGAGACTGTGGGCCTCGCCACACCACTCTGTGGGCCTCGCCACACCACCCCCGAAACGTGAAAAAGACAAAAATGTGGCGGGCGCATCTGAGTGTGGCGATGCCCTGTCCCCTTTATGTTTTGTGACGTATTCGGGTGTGCTGTGACTGGGAAATGCCGTATCATCGCAAATTGTACGAGCCCGTGGGAGTATGGCCTAAGAAACAAACAAACAGGACTTGGTGTGTCCTGTCACACTGCCATTGTCCATCCGCGCGCCAGAAGTTTGCGGGCAGTCACCCTCGGGGCATACTCACACTAGGACTTTTTCTACAAAGCTCTGGAGTCACCCTCAGGGCATACTACAAAGCTCTGGATGTGATGGCGGCCATATTCATCAAGCTCTGGCCGCAATTGCCGTCGGATGCATTTAGATAGAAAAGTCCTAGGGCGAGTACGCCCTCAGACTTGGCTCGAAAAAAGTGTGCATGCAGGCAGCTGGCATTCTTGTCATCCCCTCATTCCCCGATTCCCCCTCTACCTGCGCAGACCGTTTCCCGCTCCCCTTGCGATCTCTTCGACCCCCTCTCTCTTCGTGTAACCCGTCTTTGGGCTTCGCCACACCACTCTCGAAATGTGAAAAAGACAAAAATGTGGCGAGTGCATCTGGCCATGTTCTAGCGGGAAGTTCATTCTCATTTCGCACATTTCGAGAGTGGTGTTGCGATGCCCTTTCTTATACGCTTCCGGATTTCTCCATTGTCTCCCAGGCTTCCTTTAGGCGGCATTCCCCCTCCCCCTCAAGGTCAAGAAATGTTGAAAGCTTACATTCGAATGCAAAGCCATCTGTCAGACTGGGGGGCATCAAGATCTTCCACGAACATCTCTGAATGGCTCATTTTGTCGGGGGGGGGGGGGGGGGGAGCTTGCCAGGGAAGGGGCGTAGTTGGTTTTCTACAGTCGCGCTACTAGAAGGCGCTCCTTCCAGACCCAGCTGTGATCGGCTCGCCGTTAACGAACGCGCAGTTTGGGCACCAAAAAAAAATAATTCTGTCTTTTGTTACGGTACTGATTTATTGCAGTGGAGCCAAAGATGACACGTGTCATCTACCTACGTAGTCAGCCTGCCACGTGGAAACGCGCCGAAAGTTTTCCCTTGCCACTCGTCCGGGAACGTCTCGACGGAGTCGACACTGTGACGCACCATGCACTTTGCTCGCGAAAGCGTTAATCAATCTCCTGTGGCCTGACATACAGCCACCAAGTGCGTGACGCGTGGCGCTTCAGGAGTATCACACGTGTCATCTACCTGCTCAACCGTCTATCATATCTAATAAGGTCGCCAAGTTTTCCCCTCTTGTGCAATTTTGCATGCGAAAATGACGCCGGGGAACGCGTTAGTGCACAATGCACATTTTGCAAACGAAAGGCACATCTCCCGCGACCTTATCTGCATGCGGAGCATTGGGTGCGTGACGAGCATCGGGTGTGTGACACGTGGCGTAAAACAAGTCCTAATCATACACGTGGCATCAACCTAATCAACCCCAAACTCGCCAGGTTTACCCAAGACATCAATCATCTGGAACGGTCTTGGCATACAATGCACGGCTTGCACACGAAAGTGTTCGACAGGTTCATCTCACCGAAAAGCCTAGTAGCTCAGTTGGTACACTCATGAACTGTTTCAAAAAAAAAAAAAAAAAAAAAAAAAAAAAACGAACCTGAGCTCGAATCTACTTGAACTAGGTGAATGACGTCACATATCTCTCAGTTACCCGCGGCCATCATTGCCATTTTAACCCCCCCCCCCCAAAAAAAAAAACAAAGTGTTCCTGGCCTTCAAAGCGATAAACTGTAGGACACGCCACGTGTCACAAGGATGACACGCCACGTGTACAAGGACGACACAGCACGTGTCACAAGGACGACACGCCACGTGTCACAAGGATGACACGCCACGTGTCATTTACTCCATCAATCCCCTATCATACGTGAATCTCCCGGAGTTTTCGCTAGCCATCGTCCGGGAGTGTCCTGTCGTCGTATCTTGTTTATGACATGGAGTTTCAACGTTGAGGGAAAAGAGAGAAATAAAAGAACGTCTTCTCGTGCCATTAATTTTACAGTTTGTATCGCCAAGTGGTGGACGATACACAGGAACTCTTCCAAAAAAAATAATAAAAAAAAAAAAATCAGGAACTCGGGAGCGCTGGGTGTGGCGACACGTGGCCTCGCATTTCTCTATCCAACGAACGAGTCGAGAAGTCCCACGTCATCGTCTGGGAATCCTTTCGCATATTTTCCCCATTTGCTCACGAAAATATCTCTGTCCGAGACATTAACAAATCCACCAAACACGTCATCCATGGTCGAGAACTCTAGTAGTTTGACATGACCAAACGGTCCAAAACAAGACGCCACCTGGACGTCCGTCATATTACGTGTAACCTTTACACGTGTCGCCTTCTACATCCCAACCTCCCACGCCAAGAGACTGCCATTGACACAGTAAAGGGAGTCATCAGACGGCTCACTAGTGAGATTCGTCGTCCCCGCGACCTCCAGAAGCTTTCTATCAAACGGGCGTGAGACTGCCATGCCAGCGCCGTCACGATCATAGTTGATGACCTTCTCTCCTTCCTCCTCCTCTTCCTCCTCCTCCTCCTCCTCCTCTTCCTCCTCCTTTCCTCCTCCTCCTCCTCCTCCTCTTCCTCCTCCTCCTCTTCCTCCTCCTTCTCCTCCCCCTCTTCCTCCTCTTCCTCCTCCTCTTCGTCCTCCTCTTTCTCCTCCTTCTCCTCTTCCTCTTCCATCTCTTCCCTCAGGGAATGACGCCTCCACCTCTTGCCCACCCTCCTAAGGTTTCCCCTTCTGAGTCTCCTCCTCCTCCTGTGCGGCAGTGTGGGAGTGGAATGCGTCAGCTGAGGAGAAAGCGGTGCCAATTCTTCCCCTTCCAGTACCCCCACGCTCAGCCTAGATCGCCATATATCTTGGCCAATCCAGCGACTGCTCAAGAATTCACTCCCTCGAATCAACTCTCCATCTCCGTTTCGCTCCATTGCCCCTACGTTTAGCACGTAATCAGTCCATCCGCGATACCGAACCCCCCCCAGTTTTCCCTTCCTGTGGCTGGGCCCAAAACGCCACGGCCAATCACCGAACAGAGTGGGCATGATGAGGATCCTGTCCAGCAGGAAGGCGATGGCGAGAGCGTCCCGCAACCACCCCAGCTGCAGCCTTCGCAAGCTGAGGTTCTTCTCGGGATCGCTGGCTGCCTCGTCCAGCCGTTCGTCTGGAATCACCTGTTGGTAGTGCAAGAAACCCCTCTCCGATGGAAACAGATACGAAGGGGGGTCCACGTCCCAGAGAGCGCAGTCCCTCAGCTGCATGCGCTTAACGTCCGCCGAATACTCGTGGTTTGTATGGACCACAAACGGCTTGGGGTAACGGTGGCTAACGGCCTCGTCTTTGTTCTTGCAGGGGCCAACTACTACTGCATCCGCTCCTGTTCCGTTAGCATCAGTTACTGCAACGGAATCCTGACCAGACAACCGTGACGTCAGTCCTCCATGCGAAAGAGGAGGAGGAAAAGGAGGAGGAGGAGGAGGAGGAGGAGGAGGAGGAGGAGGAGGAGGAGGAGCTCTTCCAATTGAAGCAGATTCTGAGGAGGGGGAATAAGCAGCTGGCGTCGGAACGGCGGCATGCAGCCCGCTGTGGAAGAAGGAGAAGCCATTAGAGAAGAGACCCTGAGGCAGTGCACCGAGCAGTAGCAGGCCGTCGAAAAGACGATAGTAGATGCCTGAAGGGAAGACTACTTTGGAGGTAGAAGATGGGAGAATCACTTTCAACATGTCGTTGAACACCTGCTGATCCCACGCTTCGTTATTGGCACCAGAGAGTCTGAGGGCCCACTCACGGAGCAGCCGGAGCGAAGGATCCCGTCGCCGGACTAGCATGAGACCCACGTTGAAGTCGAACCCCTTTGCATCACACGGCGGCCAAGGGCCAGGATCAACGGCGTCCAGCCAACCTGGCCCCTGCAAGAAACCGTCATCAACCAACGGAACGGGGCAGTCGGTGGAGCACAGAATGTCGGGCTCCGGATGGGAGAGGAAGTAGGGGAGGGGGTTTCTGAACCATACCTGGTCCGCATCGGCCATCAGGACATCGAATCCGGCTTCCAACACGTCGATCATCAAGGCTGGCTTGACCTTCTGCATGTCCTTGAACTGTGGGGATCCCCATGCAGCCGCATCGGGGCCGAAAAACCCCAGTCTCGACTTGGCAACCGGGATCCCTCTCTCGTGAAGCGTCCTCAGCAGAGGCTCGTCCATCGCCACCACCAAGTAATTACCCATGCCCGCCCTGTTGGCAGAGATCACCCAATTGAAGATGAAATCCTCCCAAGCAGAGTTCCCGAGGGTCAAGACGATGATGCTATCGTTACTGCCCACTCTCGAGAGGAGCTCCTTCGTGATCAAGAAGCTGTCGACGTGAGGACTGGACATGCTGAACCACCTCCCCTTCCCCTTCCTTCCCCGGCTGCGGCACCTGTTGCTGCTGCTCCGCCGGAGGGATGGACCCGCCCGCCACGTGTTCGCTATCTCCGCCAGCACTCTCCACGTCGCTATCGCGACCTTGCGTCGACTGTCGGGCTGTTCTGAGAAAAAACGTGCCTAGGAAGAATCGGGACCCCGACGGACGATCATCCTCGTCATGGCGTGCGCGACTCTCAGCAGAACATGCAGACGGAAGTCCAGTCGTGTGATTCCACGTGTAGTCGGGATCGGGATTGGGATAATGCAAACGGAACGCTAGCCAATCGACGTCGCAGGGGACGGAGGGCGGAGGCGGCCCGGACGCAACGGCGGACGTGTACACACCCGGCCACCAGGATACCACCATATCCCAGGTGTAAAATTTGTACACTGCCAGGGCCGACAGGATAAACAAGCTCGCGTACACGAAGACGCCCTCCCTCCGTAACTTGCAAATCCTCCGTAGTAGCATACTAAACCTCTGGTTATGGCGTCATCCTCCATACAATGGGGACCATCGCCATGGCTATGGCTCGTCGATGCCTTCAAAGCGCCTGAGGGACTGTGAATGCTGTTAGTACTGTCCCGCTGGAGTTTGAGCTGGTCGTCGTGTTTGTTTTCACTTGAGTCCGACCAGCACGGCTCGTCAACAGGAGCCAGGCTGAGTGCCCTCCTGCCACAACTCGCCCTGTCGTTCTCGCCAATCCCCCTCTCGTTCTCACCTGTCTCCGTCTCCTCCTCGTCACTCTCATTTTCACTCTCCATGTCGATCTACGCCAGATTGAACCTGGCTAGGGGAGACAATCCATCTATCCCTCCCTCCCTCTCGATTACCAGCACTCTCTCTTACCCACCTTCCAAACCCCTCTCACGTCCATTTCGATCCGTCTCCCTCTGGCCCTTCCATCTCCCTGC